AGTCTTCCTATAATGTGTACTTCCTGGGAGACTGATAATAACTATGTAACATCACTGTTCTGAATGGCTGCAGATATAAGAACGTCATAATCAAGTCAACTATTGCATCCAAAACTCAATACCTAGGTGTGTTATCTTTTTCTTTTTAATTAATTTTATTTTTGGCTGTGTTGGGTCTTCGTTGCTGCATGTGGGCTTTCTCTAGTTGCGGAGAGCGGGGGCTACTCTTCGTTGCAGTGCGTGGGCTTCTCACTGCGGTGGCTTCTCTTGTTGCGGAGCACGGGCTGTAGGCACGCGGGCTTCAGTAGTTGTGGCTCACGGGCTCTAGAGCGCAGGCTCAGTTGTTGTGGTGCACGGGCTTAGTTGCTCTGCGGCATGTGGGATCTTCCTGGACCAGGGCTAGAACCTAAATCCCCTGCACTGGCAGGCGGATTCTTAACCACTGTGCCACCAGGGAAGTCCCTAGATGTGTTCTTAAACCACACAAATTAAAGGCTTTTTCTCGCTGATTAAAAAAAAAAAAGACAAAGGTCGAACCTCCCAAGGAGTCAGATCTGGAATTAGTTTACTTGCGTCTGTATCTTCACTCTGCCATTTACTGGCTCTGTGATCCTTGCTAAGTGACTATTTCTCCGTGCCTCAGTTTCCCTCATCTGTAAAATGGGTGTCAAGAGTCTCTTCCTCATGGGTTAGAAGAACTCAGATGAGTGGTTGGTTTCTGTAAAGTGCTTCCAGAGGCGCCTGGCACGTGGTCAGCTCTCAGAAGGTGCTGGCGACCACGTTAAGGTTGCCACGAGAGCAGTGAAATAATACAGGGCAAGGGCTGAGCGGAGGGAGATCCCTGTAATTGACTGTCCCCCATGGCTGCCTGGCTGTGTGTGACCTTTGGCAAGTCACGGGACACTGTGGGGTCTTTGCTGCCCTCCCCTGTGGAATGAGAGGTGGAATCTAGGAGACTGTCTGCCCAGCCCCACGTGTGCGTTTTCCTGGGACCCCCTCCTGGCTCGGCATCCCCACCCTCACCCCCATGGCCACTGCTGATGGGGGACCTGCCGGTTCTTCCTCCCTGCTTCCCATGGCCTCAGTCGATGGGCCCAGATGTGGGTGCCTTCCCCAGGGTGTCACAGGGGAGGCATCCCATTCACGGGGAGCATGCGCTGGATGGAGCTCTAGGGCTGCCTGGGGCCACTCTCATGTCCCGAGGAGACAGTGGCTCTGCCCAGAGAAAACAGAGAGACGAGGGGGACTCCATCCCTGGTTCCCGCTGTCCCTGAAGCCCAGGTGTGGTCCTGTCCTCCCCAGGTGTGACCGCTCACTTCTGCCTTAGAGACGAGAACAACAGTAGCAGCGATCACTTATAGAAGCCGAGCTACGAGCCAGACACTGTTCTGAGAACTGCACACATTTCAACACTTTTACTTCTCATCACAGCCCGGAGTATCATCACCCCCTTTTGCAGATGGGGAAACCGAGGCACAGTGACTAACTTGTGCAAGGTCACACACCAGTGAGTGGCAGGGCCGGGACTTGAACCCCATCAGCCTAGCACCAAATCAGTGCCCCCACCCACTCCTCCGGTCTCTCCTGGCGGCCCTCTTCGCCGCAGCTGCTCGGCCGGGATCCTGTCATTGCCAGCAGCACAGCGGACCTCTAGCCCCTGAGGGTCCTTCAACTCCGGTCCACTGCACTATCTGCCTTCCTTCTGCCTCTTCACCCTGAGGACCCAGGACAGGCCTTTCCGGGTTTCCCACCTGTTCTCACAACTCTCATCTCCTTCATCCTGCAGCAGGTATGGCAGGCGTCATCCCGTTCCACCGTGGTAGAAACTGAGTCTCAGAGAGGCTAAACTCTGTGTCCAGGGGCACACAGCTGCGACCACCACTGGAACCCGGCTCCAAGTCCAGAGGTCTCTCACGTCCTGGACAACAGGACCTCTGCTCACACTTTAGCTCAGGTGAGCAGCCCTGTCATCTCGTTTCCAAATCAATCAAGTCCAAGGAAGGGCTGTGCCAGCTCCCAAGGGGACGGTGCTCTGGGCTCAAAGCCAAGAAACACAGCTGAGCTCCGGGTACACACCCCAGTGCCTGCAATCACCCATTCACCTGTGTGTCTTCCTCCAGAATGAGGACCCAGGGCAGGGACATAAGGGGGAAAGCCGGTGAGGGCAGGGCGGAGGTTCCACCAGGAAGGGGGCTTGCAAGCCCACCCCTGGGGCTGCGTGATGGAGGGGCAGAGCCCTGGAGTCAGGAGGCGGTGGTTCCAATTCCCACTAGACCATAAACGCCATGCAGGCAGGGACCGTTTCTGTGCTGTTCCCCTCTGTGTCTCAGATGGAAACTAAGACAGGCAGCATATATCATAATAACCCAAGCAGAACATTATATATAATGAAAAGATAAAAGGCACTGCCAACTAAGCTGCTATGATGCCTTCACCTTTCTATTGTAAACTTAGTAAAGACCTCTTTCAGATTTATTTAGACATAGATTGTAATCATGCCTCATTCTTGTGCATACATCAGAAAGAAAATGTTAAGTGACACACCTGGGATAAGGTCTTTCCTAGAAGGTCATCGTGCTTGGATCCAACCTTTCCGAATCACTTTTTCACTCAGAGTTGCCAGGGTCCGAGTTTTTCTGCCAACGCGGCCTCTGAATCCCCAAGATTCTGATGACGCAGGATTTCCCAGAAGGCGGTTCCTTGGGTTTTCCTGGAAGTTTCCACTGGGTTGCTTACACCCAGCCTGCATGTTTAAACGTGCTCACGTGCAGGCAATGACGCCTGGTGGTCACGACTAGGACACTTCCCAGCTTCGGGGACGTGGAAAGGTGAAAAAAAACGTGCATCTTGCATTCGCCAAGAAAAGGTGGTTCGTGCTTGGTAAATATTTCTTGATAGATGGAATGTATGAATGAGTGAATGAGTACCCGATGAGTGAGTGGGAAAGTTAATTAATTACCCTGAACCTAAGGGAAATGCACCAATGAAACTTACTGATGGATGAAGTAAGATAATTAGAGCCTCGGTATTTGGGCTTAAACAGAGGCGCTCAGCTGGGGGCCCATGGACTCTGGGGCCAAGGTAATAATAATAAAGAATGATAACCATACCCGCTGACTGCTCTCTATACACCATCTCTCATAATCCTCCCCGGCAACTCTGAAAGGCGGTTACCCTTATCGTACCCATTTCACAGAGGAAGAAACTGAGGCTCAGCGAGGGGAAGTGCCTTGCCAAGGATCAGAACCCAGGTTGACCAGCCTCTGCTCTCTCCACCCCATCTAGTGGACAGCCCCCCAGAAGTGGGGGTGAGCTCCGCCCTGTCCCCAGGGCCCTCTGCAGATCCGTACAGCGGCAGTGTCCCCTTCTGGGCCTCCACGGCTGGAGGGAATGTGCTTGATGGGTCCCTGGAGCCCGAGCTGTGAGCAGGTCAGACCAGTTTGGAACCCAGACCACTTCCGGGCTGTGTGACTTTGGGTGAGTCCTTTCAGATTTCTGAGACCCAAGTCTCTGCTGGTTGTAATTGTTTACCCCTGCCACGTATGGCCAGCCACGAAGGGGACAGTCCCTTAGACCTCTGGTCCTCGGCCCTGATGGTCTGGCTGTTCATCCCCGCCACCTCCCCGGGAGGGAGCTTCAGCCAACTGCAGGCTCAGGTCCCGTCCAGACCAGTGAGATGGACCCTCCAGCACAGACAGATGGGGCGCTGGGGATTTCATGGGTGACCCACACTGTGACCCCTGAAATCACGTGTATAAATTCCACAACATGCCTGGAATGGATTGACATAAACCTCAGCATCTGAGATGGAAACCAGATTTGTCTCTGGTCGGACCTGCCATTCTTGGATAAAGGCGTCTTCCTTTTCCATCAACGGGAAGGTCAAAACCTCCCCCAGCCAGTGTGACAAAGGCACACTTTACACAACTTTGACCTGAATCGCTTGACGGTTTTCTCTCACATGTTCCATACACAAAAACAAAGCAACCATCAAAGTAATTCTTGAGCAATGTGAACGCACGGACGCTCAGAAACGACCAGCAAAAGGCCCATCGGTCATCAGTCTCCACTTTAAATTGGACTTGGCGTGTTTTGCAAGAGAGTCTGGATGGTATCTGGAGAAAAAGTGTGGATGTGTGGGCCGGGGGAGGACCGTGAGGGGCGGGGCAGGGGTGAGGAGACATGCTTGTTTTTAAAATACGGGCACTCAGGAGTCTCCGCGCAAGCCCATCTTGGAATTTGAAAGGTCAAGCCCTGCCCAATGATTGATCATCGATCCCTGTCGGTCACCAGTGGGGCTGTGTTACATGCCCAATGAACTGAATCATTTCCCCCAAAAGCCGGTGGATGTGTGTGTCCGTTTGGATGGTGTAACAGATGCCCCCAGGGCTCTGCCCGTGTCCTCTTGGGTCCCCTCCCTGGCAGGGGGTGGGCTGCCCCTGGAATTGACAACTGCTCCTCCAAGGGACAGCCCTCACCCCACCGCTGAGCAGGCCTCGGCTCCCTTGCCTTCTCAAGGGGCCAGCGCCACAGTGGGACTCAAACCCACTTACATCATTTGCAAAATGAACATGCGGGCCCCTTGTTCGACTCTGTTAAACCAAACACGGGGCCCTTGTGAGCACCTGTATTGGTGCCGCCCCTGGAGCTGGTCCTGGTGGGACAAAGGCCGCCTCTGGGACCCCCAGGGGATCTCGCCTCGGGACCGTCTTACATCACCTGGTAGGACCTCTTCTCTTCCTGTCCCACTGCCCCACCCCTCCGCTAGTTCTTCCCAGGAACCTTTCTAATGAATCAGATCCTCCTCCCTGTGCTTCAGAGGGACCCACACTGACACGGTACACGTGTGGCCCAGACAGTGTGGGGGTCCAGAAGCAGAGCAGAGCTGAAACCTCATCCCAGTCACACCCGCCCACCTCCCACTCCCAGGACTCTACGGCGTCAGCACCTCCGATTTAAGATCATCAGGTCGTGAACACTGTGAATCACGCGTAAGTAGGTAAGTTCATTTCCATTTTATGATGAGCAAACGTATCTTGAGGACATTTGGGATGGGGACATGCCTCCAAGAGTCAAACCTGGAAGAAATCTGTACCAGCCAAGACAGTGACATCTGTCTTAGAAAGGGGCTTCACGCAGCTCACAGAGGCAGTGACTTCCCACGGTAGATCTGGGGAGCTGCAAGGTCAAGGGGACTGCTAGGTAGGCCTCATTGCCAGGACAATAAAACAGGGACCCGGAACAGGCGAGTGGCTCCCACGAAGTCACCCTGCCAGGTGGGGCCACCCAGGGGTTGAGAGCCAGGGGTCCTGTCTCCAAGCATCTCTGGGGTCATGCTCCGTTGAGCTGGGCATGACCTCTGGGGGTCAAATCATGTTTTACCCAACGGTTTCTGAGGCTTAGCAGAAAGTGGAGGAATGTTCTTCCAGGTTGGCTGCAAGGGAAGCAAAGAGGGAATGAATATGAACCACTGCTTGGGTTCGTATGAACCCAAGAACGTGGGGTCAAAAGTGTGTCATCTACTTCCTCCACACCCACCAGAAACACCAGAAAGATGCCAGTTTCCAATAAGACTAAATTCTTAACTCCCTGCTAAGTCTCTCTAGGCTCCGTCTTCCTCTTCCCTTCCTACCTGATTCTGTGGGGATCTTTCTTACAACCTTGGCTGCACGAGAATCTTTTTGCCAGTTTCCAGTTTGTTTTCAGTGAGCGGTGCTCCACGTGGAGATGTAGTTTTGATGCATTCATTGCGGGAGATGGGCTCTGTGTCCTCCGCCGCCGCCATCTTGTCTCCCCTCCTATCTTACTTAGTTCCTAACGCATCCCTCCCCATCACTCCCATTTTACAGATGAGGAGACTGAGGCTTGGAGAGTGGAAGTCATTTGCCTAAGGTCACCTTGTGGTGGAGCCGGCTGGTTCTTAAGAGCCATCCCAAATCATCTCTCACTGTCCCTTTCTTTCCCACTGGCCCCAGCACGTCCCGGTGTAAGGTTCACAGACTCAGGTGGGTCAGACCCACTCCGAGAACTGTTCCTGTCATCACTAGGTAATAGACGTGTTGGCATCAATCCCCATGGACTCTAGACTTTCCTGCAGGACTCACACCTGAGTATTCTGAATCTCAAACCTGATGTTTGCCTTTCAAGGGCACTGCGGTGGGCGGGGGAATCATCCCCTTTCAAGGGCTTTTGTTTACCATGCACAGACTTGAGCTATCACAGCGCTGGGTGGGTGTTCAGGTTCTCCTAGCCAAGACCCCTGGACCTTTGCGTCCACCTGCATCTCACCTTGAAGAGCATCTGAGAGCAGAGCCTGTGCCTTCCTTACCTGGTCGCCTCTGATGCCAGCCTTCCCCACCATCATTCTGTTCCCACCCCAGTGGCCTCCCTGGGGTTCCTCAAACCAAGATCTTTCCTGCCTCGGGACCTCTGCCCTTCCCGCTCCGCCTGCCTGGGAGCCCATGTCAGATCTTGGCTCAGATATCGTGGCTCTGCTCACAGCGGCCTTCCTTCCCGGCCCGGATCTGAAGCAGCTCCCTCCTCGCCTGGCTACCCCGCATCACATCACCTGTCTGTCCAGCTTCCTTCACGACACTATTGCAGTCTGGGCCTTTCTTGCTGGTTTACTGGTTGCCCAGTTTAGTCTCCTACTAGGATGTAAGCCCCCGAGAGCAGGAGTCCTGATTTATCCACGGCGTCCCCCCAGCACCACGCCTGCATGCTGGAGATTTCCACGAATGACTGCTGAACCTCTGGGCACCCGGTTCGTGCCTGAGAGTTGGCCCCGGATAGCACCGCGTGGCAGAGGGAGGGAGACAGAGGGACCAACTTCATGGGACACAGGAGGGCTCGTCTGTCTGTTCACAGAGGCATGACGGCAAAGGAACGTGTAAGTTACAGTCTAGTCTGGTCCTTGGATGTAAGGCTATAGAAACTTCCATTTCTGAGCACGCCCAGAGCTCTCATATGTTCACTTTGAAATTAGAAGGGAATTTTCAAATTCTCCCCATAGGTAAAGCCCTACTCTTGCCCTCCCACTGTTCAACTTCGTGATGAAAGCTACCTTGGACACCTGGCTGCCCAAAGCCACCCGCTGTCGCTGACCCATCCCACCTCCCACTTACCCACTGCCGTCGCTTTATTGAAAGTGCTTCTGCCGTCCTTTCCCGTGCTCTGCCACATTTTTGAAGCCACCCTCTGCGAAAAGAAGTGGGCTGTGTCAGGGAAGGTGTGTCGATTCCTAATCAGATGCTCACGGCTCACCGGCCAAACCAAGTCCAAACACCTCAGCCTGGCCCGGCGCCCTGGCCCTGCCCCTCTCCTCCCCCAAAGAGGTCCCCCAGTCCCCACCTGCAGCTGCTCCCCCAGCCCGTATGGTCTGCCCTCAACTCCTGCCATTTCCCACCCCAGCCCCATGCTCACGACGCACTCCGGCTGCTGTGATGGCCAAGTTCATCCTACCTCAGGATTTCCACATCTGCTGTCCCTCTGCCCGCTATTTCTTATTCTTGATACTGGGCTTCAATATCCCCTCCTCAGGAAGCCTTCCTTGACATCCTAGTCTAAGGTGTCCTTTTTTTTCTTTTCTCTTTTTTTTGCGGTACGGGGGCCTCTCACTGTTGTGGCGTCTCCTGTTGCGGAGCACAGGCTCCGGACGCGCAGGCTCAGCGGCCATGGCTCACGGGCCCAGCCGCTCCGTGGCATGTGGGATCCTCCTGGACCGGGGCACGAACCCGTGTCCCCTGCCTCGGCAGGCGGACTCTCACCCACTGCGCCACCAGGGAAGCCCTGTGTACTGTCAATTCTTTAAAAAGATATGGTGGATGAATGGAAGAATGGATGGATCGATGGACAGCTGGATGGATGACTGGCTGGAGGGATGGTGTCAACCATATTTTCTAATTCCCTCAATGAAAGTAGGAGGAACTTTTGCACGTCTAGTCCCAGGTTCTGATGTTTAGCGTGAAGCTGTGTTTGCTGTAAGCCCCTCTTGCCCACCATCAGACAACAGGGCTTCTACCTTATTTCCCAATCTAATTCCCATTTTGTCTGCTATGAGCCATCCCTGAGCTGCTGCCTCAGTCCCAGCCTGCAGCCTGGAATGGCTCCTGCCCATGTGGAGGACCACACAGGCTAGAGGAGAGATTTTTCACAACAGAAGCATCTTGGCATCCTAGCACCTTACCCCCAACATGCCATCTGACAGCATAAAATCAACCACGGAGAATACAGTCACTTTCCTTCATAGCAGCTTCAAACTGTAGTTCTCAGAACAGTCCGTTGGGTTTCTTTTCTTCACCCCAGAAATGCCCACTGCCCTTTTTAGTACCCTCCGCAAAGTACGAACGGTTCTTCTCTTACCTGGATATTCTTTGTAAAATTTGTGTCGTAAGAATCGCCCATCTGGAAAAGAAGTGAGAGGATTAAACTCCTTTCGGGGAGTTTATAAGGCCAAAACTAAGAAATTATTTGTGTTTTCCACTCTCATTCTCTCACAGGTGTCCGGAATTTTCCAGAAGCTACAGTGGCGTGTGACACTGCGGCCGATTAAATGCAGAAGCAGAACGACCCAATTCCCACTGTTGATTGTCATCAACCACCTCCTTCCTCGGCCCCAGCCCTGTCACAGCAGTAAAACATCTTCTGGTGGGAGTCGGAGAAACTTCACGTGGGAGAGCGGAGAAGTCTGGCCAGATCACACAGACGTTGCACGTGGCAACGCGTCTATCGGTAAACGCCCCCCTCCCTCCTGTGCATCGTCTCCTCTGACCGCTGTAAGGGTAATAAATCACACTTGTGCCCTTGAAACTAATATTCTGTGCCCATCATAGCTCCATCAAAATCGTGTTTATGTACTCAGGGCATTTTGTTTCCTCCTCTTCTGTGGCTCTCCTAACAATCATCACGGTGTCCAGGACCAGCAGTGACGTTTACTGTACAAGGCTGACAGAACCAACGGCTGACCCACACCCTCGGGCAGAGAGCTTATCAGCAAGCTCAACGACTACCATTTACCACGATTCTTCCATTTACGGCTATTTCCTGAAGCAAACGGCAAAATTCTTCCAGGCCGGAGGCTCTCCGAAACATTCCTGCTCCTCCCTTCTCCCTGGGGGTGAATTATGGCCCCTGATGCCATGGGCAGGAGACGGTGGTCTGTGCGGAGCCGGACCCCTTCCTCACACCAGGTGTGTTTACCAGAGGTGTCACTTTTACAAAATAAACCTAAGGATTTGAGCCCCTGCTCCGGGCTATGCCACCCTGTTATCCTTCCCAGGCAGCGTCCAGTGAAGTCACTTTGTCAGAGGGAAGAGTCGGGGTGGGGGGGCTCATCTCCCACATCTCAGTCTTGGATGGTCAGTATCGGAGCAGCATGGAACCCACTCAGAAGACGCACGCGGTGGGGATAAATCAGGAGGTTGGGATTGACATGTACACACGACTATGTATAAAACAGATAACCAACCAGGACCTATTGTATAGCACAGGGAACTCTACTCAATATTTTGTAATAACCCCTAAGGGAAAACAACCTGAAAAGGAACAGATATATATATGTGTGTGTATATATCTGAATCACTGTGTTGTACACCTGAAACTAACGTGACGTTGGAAATCAATTATACTTCAATAAAGTAAAATAAAATAAAATAAAAAGATGCACTGAGGACCCCGACCCTGCTCTCTGAGAAATCAGATTACTGCCTGTGTTGATGTTCATTTTCCTCTCAAGAAAGACATGAACTCCTCAGACGTCAGAGTCCAGGCTGAACTCACAGCGGGTCCTTGGCCCCCTGTAGCAGCCAGCTCTCAGCAGAGACCTGCATCTTAGGCGTGGGCAGGAGATCTGTAACTTATTCTCAGATAGTCCCCAAAAGTAACTATGTGGATTTATATATAGAGAGAGTGCAGGGTTGGGGGAGAGGCAGAGAGAGCATGATAAAGGAAAGAGTATTTAACAATTGATGAATTAGGGTGGAGGCTCCAAGGTACTCTCCTTGCCGCTTTTCTGTAAGTCAGAAATTACTTCAGTTCTTCCCTGGTGGCGCAGTGCTTAAGAACCTGCCTGCCAATGCAGGGAACACGGGTTCGAGCTCTGATCTGGGAAGATCCCACATGCCGTGGAGCACCTAAGCCCGTGCGCCACAACTACTGAGCCCGTGCTCTAGAGCCCGCGAGCCACAACGACTGAGCCCACGTGCCACAACTACTGAAGCCCACACGCCTAGAGCCCGTGCTCCACAACAAGAGAAGGCACTGCAATGAGAAGCCCGTGCACCACTATGAAGACCCAATGCAACCAAAAAATTTTTAAAAATTAAAAAAAGAAATGACCTCAAATATGCAGTTTTTTAAACACTTAAAATCCGAGGCTTCTTGTTTGGTTACCCCGGGACAAGAATGCTCCTCTATTCCCAGAGACCACTGCTCCAAGGGAAGTTGTAGGAATTTAAGATGTTTCCAAACTCCTGTACAATTACCAATAATTACTGCTAAGTGACAGCCCTCTGGGGACAAGGCTAGGGGAAATTTCAATTACATTTCTATCTAGAAGGCTCCGCTCATTCCTGTGGGTGGGGGAGGACACACACCCATGGGCTTTGGAGCAGGTGGCCAGGCTTGGAATTCTCACTCTGCTCCCTGGTAGGTGTATGCATTGTCTAGGCACGTTTCTGATCTCCAGCCCTCCCTCTTCCGGAAGACAGGTGACGGCTGCGCGCATTGGTTGGGGACCTACTATGCGTCAGGCGCTGCCCTAAGCACTTTATAAGTGTTCTCTCATTCAAGCTTCATCACTACCCCAAGAAGCAATTACTATCGTGACCCTCACTGCTCCATTTTACAGATGAAGAAACTGAGGCTAAGAAAGCTTAGGTTAGCTGCCCAAGGTCACCCAGGAAGAACGCCGCAGCATTTGAACCCATTTCAGTGGCCTGCAGTCTTAATCCCACTCGACACTGCTCCTGGTCATACTTCTGCCTTTGCAGGCTCGCACTGAAGCTTAGGGGAGCGCCCACAAGGGCCTCAGTCAACCCTGGGTGTCATCGGTACAGCCACCTGGCTGTCTCTTTGTTTATCTCCACCCTTGAAGTGGGTCCTTTTTGAACTGGTTTGGTCCCTCGAGAACGGGTTTGAACCTGTCTGGCTTACTCTGGTCTTGGAGGTCATATAACTGAATGAGTGAGATCAGGAGATGAGAAAGGCCACATAATTCCAGGCCTTTCCAGTTATAAAAATGACATTTCGGTTCAGAGGACTCCTGACTAACCCCCACCATCCCCAGCTCTTTTGGAAAAAGCTGCTCCTTCCAGCGGGTTCCTACAGGCTGGCCTGTTCTTGGGGTTGTACGTCCGAAGGACGGCGTATCCCGTCCACCTGTGTACTCCGTCCACTGTGGTGTCTACAGACAGCAGTGGTGCCAACAGAAGGGATTCGGTTCTGTGCTTGAGAAACTACAGACATGGTTTATTTACATGGATTAACTCACTGGCTCCTCAAAGAGTCCATGAAGTAGCTTAACTACTATTAGCCCTGTTTACAGATAGGGAAAGCAAGGCCTGAAAAGGCTGGGCAATTTGCCACACACAGCAGCAAGGGGCCAAGTGGCCACTGGAACCCTGGCTGTCTGGCTGGAGAACCTACTCATAACCCTAAAGAGCAAGTGGAATGTAGGAGAAATCTCAGATTCCTGGTTGGTTCCAATCCTTTTATAAGTAATTTTTTTCAAAGCTCAGAATTCCAGGAACCAGGATTCCTGAGACAGTTCCACGTCTCCTAATTTTATTACTTGCAATGACGCTGACGCTAAATGCATGACAGATTTAACATCTATGTCTTTCTTGAAACGCCTCAGAGAAATAAATTCTCAAATGAGGAAAAAGAAATGCTTTGGCAGATAGCGCATGTGATGGGTTCTCTGGGCCAGTAAGGTCGCTGTGATTATCCTCGATTTTGACCGAGGTTCTATCCTCAGCTATTAGGACTAAGAGATGTTAAAGTGGGGACGTGGGCCCTGGAGGGCATGGTCTCAAAGTTCCAATAAGCTCAGCTTTGACATGGTTACCCTCCATCTCCCTGGAGTTCCCGATTCTTCGTTTGCCACACATTTCTGGCAAATTCCATGCCTAGCCTCTCCACCTTACACCTTGCATGAGGCAGGAGTGGCTTTTAGGTACCCTCAGCAGTCCCTCCTCTGCCGTCCTTGCCCCCCTGGGGAAAAGTATGCAAACTAAAGCCCCACTATTCAGGCCCTTCACTGAACTATTTATTGCCTTGTCTCCAAAGACAAATACTAATTAAGTCACACTGAACAGTCCTAGCAGAGAGAAGTTACGGGTTCTCAGACAATTCAAATTCTGTGCAGTTTAAAAGGGACAGATAGATACAAATTATCCACCTTTTACTGAGCACCTTTAGTCTCTGCTCTGGCATCACACGTATGATTTCAATTAATCCCCATAACCCAGCATGAAGTGGCCCCATTTTACAGATAAGAAAACTGAGGCTCAGAGATTTGAAACAACTGACACCAAGGTCAGCCAGGCAGGAGGTGGCCGAGCTGGGGTTTGCCTGCATCCTGCTCACATGAGGAGGGAGAAAGTGCAGAGGAGCAGGGCAGAGAGGGGACAGGAGGAGGGCGTGGCCAGGCTCAGGGGCGGGGGCTTCCTTTGGGACGGGTCTCCCGTGGGGGGTTCCGGGGAGAGTGGGGCGGGGCTTGGTGTCCACACTCACCTGCCGGCCGGCGCTGCTTGACACACTGCCCGCTGTTGGGGATGCCCTCAGCCAGGTCACCCGGGCTCAGGATGTGGCACTCATAGCCTGAGGGGCAGAGGAGTGGCTCGGCCCCGTCCTCTGTGGTGCTGCAGGCCTCTGCTGCGGGGGACACACACGCGGGGGGCTCAGGGGTGGCCCCCATGGGGGCAGAGGGGCCGCCTCTCATCGGCACCCCAGATTGCACGTTGTGCCTGGGGTCTCTGCACACACACATGCACACGGGGGCAGCCCAGAGTCACATGATCCCAAACACGCCCTCGCATACATGCATCGTGACATGCATATTGTGTTGGCCAAAAAGTTCGTTCGGTTAGCGAATGCGTTGTTCCAGAAAAGTTCTTTGTGAAAATGAAAAACGTCAATTTTTACTTAAAACCGAGCGAACTTTTTGGCCAACCCACTACATGTATGTTCATCCCCACACAGTGAAACACATATGCTCGTGCTTATAATCACACGTACATACATGTTTACCCACCAAAATCCTATACACACACATATCACATACACACATTTTTGCCGTCCCACAAGTCCGAACACACGTATACACACACACACACAGCCATATCCACACCCACGTTCACACGCACACAAATCCTGCACACACACACACACCCCTACAGTCGCACACATCTGCACGAACACGGATGCACAAGTTCTCAGACACACGGCCACAAGCACAGCCAGCTGGCTTCACGCACAGCCGCACACCCTGACAGCCACGGTCACGCACTCGGATGTACGTAGGGTCACAAGCACAGCTGCACAAACGCAAAGGTGCTCCCGCACAGCCGCACCCCCACAGTGGTCCAGGTCCCTGGGCCTCCTGCCATTCCTTTCAGAAACTGTTCTCCACCCACCCCGGAAGGAGGCCTCATCAGCAGGGAACAGTGAACCCCTTATGGTGGCTTGAGGGATCTGAAAACCCCAAGCCCCCTCCCTCTGAATTCTCCACCCAGGGAGGAGGCCCCGTTGCCAGGGACAGTCAAACCCCACACTGTTCTGCGGATTCTGAGAGCCTGGCCAAGCCCCAGCCACCCCCTTCCGTGTCGGGGTGGGGAGGGTCCAAGCGGGCCAGGTATTAGAGGACAGGCAGCCTGCCGGAGCAGAGGCTGACCCTGGTTCTCAGTTTTCTGGGGGCACCTGAGAAGGGGGGACCCTGGCTCTGCTGTCGGGTTGGGCATCACCCTGCAGGTACCTTGCAATGCCTCCTCAGGGCCGTCCAGGAGCCAGCCGTTGCCCCCAAGCCATCGAGGTTTCGGCTGCACTAGCCAGTCTAAAACTGACAAGATAATAGATGGTTAAATGGAGGCCCTCCTCAGGCAGCTGAGAAATGCCCCAGCCTCTGGGGACGGGGAGCCTACATCTCATGATGAAACACAGAGCCTCCCCGCAGGAGAAACAACTCAGTTCCCCAGCAAAAGTTCATCCCTTCCTTTTAGTAACAGAACTCCTGAGTTTCAGCTAGGCACTGGCTGGCCAAGCTGGAGACTACATTTCCCAGCCTCCCATGCAGCAAGGTGTGCCATGTGACTGAGTTCTGGCCAATTGGATATGAGCAGAAGTAACCACGCCACATCCCAGCTTTCACTGGTATGGTTACCTGTCGGCTCCCCTCCCTCTCTCTTTCCAGCTTCCTGCAGACTGGGAGCCACCACGTGGAGCAACGAGACAGAGGGAACCTGGGTCCCTGGGTGACTGGAGCGGAGCCACCTGCCTGTCATGGACCACCTGTCGACTCCGGCCTTTTAACCGAGGGAGAAGTAAATGTCTAATAGGTTGGGCCCCTGAGTTTGTGGGTCTTTTTGTTACAGCATCATGGCCTGTTCTCTAACCAACACATTTTTAACAGGAAGAGTGACCATGTAGTAGACTGGACGGTCTTCAAAACCCCAAACAGGGATTGAAAACCCAAATGCCTCTGGAGACAGATAGGTAACATAAAGGAGGACGGTAGGCTGGGTAGGATCACGGCCAACAGGAGAGTGTTCCTGCCTCAGTGGGTCAGCGGCTGGTCAGCTCTGGCCAGCTGTTCCCAGAACTTCTGGGTGGTTTTTGTGTGTGTGTTTTTTTAAACTTTAGGTCTATATTTTAAAAAATATAAACTCTTGGTTTTAAATGTTGGCAAATAATTTTTTTTAATTTTAAGTACTTTGGAGATTAAATAAAACTGGTCTGGGATCACAATCGTTTATGACCTCTGCTTTAGTCTGACTCCAAAATAAAGAGATTGATGTGCTGTCCAGTGCCTTTGAAAGTACCTAGATAGGGATTGGTAAAAATACCAGTTAGCTCTTTCTTTAAAAGAGCACAATATGGTTATAAGAAGGTTGCTCTCAGTGTGGAAAGGGAAACAGCAGAACCAGCAGTTTACAACTTCCACACGAGAGGGGTGAGATGTGGTTCCAGAGCCTCTATTTCCAATCTCCTGGTTCTTCCCTCCTTTTCCCCACTGCCTCGGACTTAATGTCAGAAAATGTATTTTCAATGTTATTTTTTACTAAACAGGAAATGTATTAATTTTTCCTGTACAGGGAAACGTACACATTTTGCTATACTTTTTGGAATACTGAAATTTGGTCCAGGTCTCCCATCAATATGCAGGCCCTAAAGGCCTGGAGGCCCAGGGTCTCGCCTCTCTGCTCCCCAACTAGAACTTCCTGGGATCACCTGCTAAATAAACTCCCCTCACTCAAGACCTTATCTCGGGGTCTGCTTTGGAGGAGACCCACAGGCTGCCTGCAAGGAAGTGTGTAAGCTGCTTAGAACAGGGCCTGGTGCATTTCAAGTCATGTTAGATGTGCGGTTCTCAATCTGGAGCGATTTTGCCCCCGCCCCGAGGAAACATCTAGTGAAGTCTAGAGATATTTTTGGTTGTCCCAGTGTGGGGTGGGGCCACCACTGCCACCTAGTGGGTGGAGGCCAGGGATGCTGCTCAAAATCTACACTGCCCAGGTCAGCGCCCCACCGCCCACCCCAACTAGAATTACCCAAGCCCAAACGTCAAGAGTGCCAAGGGCGAGGAACCTTGTTCTAGATATTATTATCGTAATTCTTATTATGACTAATATTTTGTCGGCTCTTCCCGTTGGCCAGTGAAAGCTAGGCCTTCATTGCTTCATCTGTTCTTCATCGAGTAGCTTTTATGAGTCCAGAGACTATTTCAGGTAGTGGGGATACAGCAGTGAATGAAACAAACCAAACCTCCTGCCTCATGGGGCTGACCTTCAAGTCAGGGGAATGGTCAGGAAACAAATGAAACACAATATTCTAGACTGGGCTATAAAGAAAGCTTAAGCCAGAAGGCAGTTAGCAATGGCCAGAGGAAAGATTACCATTTAGAGAGGGAAATTTCCCTGAGAAAGTGACCACCTCTGCCTGAGATCTGAAGGAGGTGAGGAAGTGAGCTGTGTGGGTGTCTGGGGGAAGGATGTTCTGGGCGGTGAGGGATCCCACAAATGAGCCTGGGGCCCCGTATCCCTACACTCAGAGCCTAAGGCAGTGGACACTTCTCCACAGTCAGAAGACTAAATGGAAATGCCAGCTCTGCCTGCTGTGTGACTTTGGGCAACGTACTCAGCTTCTCTGAGCTCCCGTGTCTTCAGCTGTAAAACAGGGCTGATAGTGGTCTCTCCACCCCATGGGACTGTGTTAGCATTAAATGAGATGGTGTAAGGAAAGGCTATTTGGAATGTCACGGACAGTTGTACATACAGTTTGTGCACTGCTCAGAAGCACCTGTTCTAGGCAGCAAGTAAGGTTGGAGTCCCTATGCCCTGTCTCAGTCCAAAGGAAGGGGCACCTTTTTGACTTGTCCAACCAGATGGGCATACCTTTACGTGCTTCCTCCAAGAGGAAGGGGTGCTATTTTGTCTTTCTCATAAAAGGCCCTGTAGGAGCCAGCGTGGCCATGAGGCAGTGCTCAAAGGCAGCACAGACTGTAATTATGAGCATTATTAAGGGTGCCGAGTCCCTTGTCGTCGCTGTGACCTCACCCCAAAGAGAACTGAGTGTGTTCGTTCTTACCTTGGCCTTGAGGAGGGGGTAGTAATGAAGGCCCAGGGGGACCACAGCCTCTGGCCGACAGTGCAGTCCTAACAGGCTGCTGTCCTCCCTGGAGGCTGGGAGCGGAGGAAATTTTAGGGCACCTTTTCTCCACTCAGCTGCCCATAATCAGCCCCACCCTGTATTCCCCCCAGGCTCCCTTCCCTCCCCTCCCAAACCTCTCCAGAAGGGATCTGAAACTCCTTCGCTCCACAGATGAACCCCTGAGGCCTGTGTCTCCCGAAGAGATTCCCCGTTCAGATGCAACAAACATCCTACTGATTCTCTGCTCCCAGCCGGAGGCGGGGCTGAGCACTTCCGGATGCGGCACTCCGCGTGAGCCGCACATTCTCCTTTCAGCCCTGCTTTACAAGTGGGGGTTTAAGTTGGTGACCAGCTAGCCAGTGGATTTGATTGAACCCAGGAGTCTGCATGCCCACCTGGATCACTAAGGTGTCAGGTCTCCATCTCAAATACCCCCAGGGCCAGGCGTCATGAGTGAAGTGGGCCTTGTGGGGTCCCTGGAAACCTGGAGGCCGCCCCCGTTGCCCTCTAGGGGCACCTGAGGCTCCAGCAGATGGTGGCCTAGGGAATGCGGTCCAGTATTTTTAAGAAAAGCTGGAGGACTTCCGTGGTGGCGCAGTGCTTAAGAATCCGCCTGCCAATGCAGGGCACAGGGGTTCGACCCCTGGTCCGGGAAGATCGCACAGGAGGCGGAGCAACCAAGTCCACGCCCTAGAGACCCTGTTCCACAACAAGAGAAGGCACCGCAGTGAAAAGCCGGCGCACAGCAAGAAGAGTAGCCCCCCGCTCGCCGCAACTAGAGAAAGCCCGCGCGCAGCAAGGAAGACCCAACGCAGCCAAAAATAAATAAAATTAAAAAAAAATTTTTTTAAAAGAAAAGCTGGAAATCTGGATTTTTTATGAGAAATCTCCCCCATCTTCATAAGAGGGGTATTTTCCTTTTAACGGGCGGCCCCTGGACTGCAGTTCTCTGCCCGCAGTGGCGAGCCCCGCATACAGCAGGCGCTCAGTGCATGCAGCTGGACGCTTGCTCCAGGAGCGCTATGCTCCCATCTCACAGGGCGGCCCGCCCAGGTGGTCCAGGTTTAAGCCCAGCTGTTCCTCCAGTCGGGCAGCGCTGGGTAGGACAGTTCCCCGCGCCCCCCCACCCCGTCTCCCCCGGCCTGGAGCACCTACCTGGCGGGGGCGGCACGGCCTCCAGGCAGGCGTAGGCGCAGCCGTTGTAGCAGCAGCGCCGGTGCCGCGGGCACTCAGAGTCAGCCTGGCAGCGCGCCGCCTGGCAGGCGCCGGGGGGCAGCGAGCGCGGGGGCGGCGGGCAGCGGTCGGCTCGCGCCTGTCGGGGACCGCCAGCCTCCTCGGCCTGCGGGAAGAGGGGGCGTTAGCGGGACGGGGCGGGTGCTGTGCGCCGCGGGCGAGTCGCTGGGCCTCTCTGAGCCGCCACGTCCTCGCGTGATCACAGCAGAACCATCCTCAGCGGGTTGCTCTGAGGATGAAAGGTTGCTGTTTCTCTTTGTAATAGCCCCAAACTGAAATGACTGTAAGCCCATCAGCAGCAAAAAGGAGAAATGAATCTGGATAAGAGTTGTATGTTAAGCGTCCATCCTGATGTTTATATGTATGTACATATATGTATGTATTTACATATAAAATACGGTATATATATGTATACAAACACAATAGATACACACACATTTATATACTTCTTATAATTCATCTGTTTATATAGAGCTTTGAGAATTTACAGATCACACACAAAATGAATAAATTCACCTAGCAAACGGCTTGGATAAACGTCACAGGCATAACACCGAGAAAAAAAAAGAAGTCAGCTCACAAGAGAACATATAGTATGAATCCATCTACAGTTTTCGTTCAAAAACAGACAAAGCTGATGTCTGGTGTGAGAACAGGAGCGTGGTCCCCTGGTGGGTGGTGACCTGAAGGGGGTCTGGGGTCCCTGGGGGCCGGCCCCGTTCTGCTTCCTGATCTGGGCGCTGGTTCCATGGTGTGTTCGTTTTGTGGGGATTCATGGAGCTGAACTCAGGATTTTCACACTTTCTGGTACTATGTTTCCAGAAAGAGTTAAAAATATGATATCCTGGGCTTCCCTGGTGGCGCAGTGGTTGAGTCCGCCTGCCGATGCAGGGGACACGGGTTCGTGCCCCGGTCCAGGAAGATCCCACATGCCGCGGAGCGGCTGGGCCCGTGAGCCATGGCCGCTGAGCCTGCGCGTCCGGAGCCTGTGCTCCGCAGCGGGAGAGGCCACAGCAGTGAGAGGCCCGCGTACCGCAAAAAAAAAAAAAAAAAAAAGATATCCTATTTAACATATAGGAAGTGTGGACGCATTACCAATAAAATAAGCATTTTAGAGGCGGGGTTGGGAGAGTTCAAGTCACACCAGACCCCATCTATGCCGGGAACACTGTTCTGCTTCTGAATATGGAGGTGGGGTGTATGGAGGGCAGGTCTTACACATCCCGACGCAGGTGTGCGCACACACACGTGCACACTCACGCGCAGAGTTAGATACAGAGTAGGTTCTTTGGGGGAAAAACCACCCCGGCTTGCCCCGCCTCCGGCTTATGCCTGAACCGCTCCACCCATCTAAAATGCTTTACCCACTGATCCCCCGATCTCCCCCAACATATATGTATTGCAAAATCCTGCACCTTGTACTGTCCAAGTAAATAATGCAGACTGCAGACTGGAGGAGCACGCAGCCACTAAACCTGCTGATGAGAGATCCCCAAGAGACGGTGGTTCATGAAGAGAATTAAGATATAGAACAGTCTGTCTGCTCTTCACCTATGTTTTCAAATATTCATATGCACACACATGTAATATGCGTATGTTTAACAGGCCTAGAACATCTTTGGAAGGATATACAAGAATACACAGCAGCCGTTGGTCAAAGATTGCCTCTGGAGAGAAGAATTAGGTTCTGAAGCCAAGGGAGAGTGCTCCTTATTGTACACTTTTTTTCCCTTATTGCATGCTCTTTTGCACAGGTTCCAATATATATATATTGCCATGAACACATTGAGTTTTTTTTCAATTTAAAGAAGACAATTAAAAAACTTAAAAGGTAGAAGTACTTAAGAAGAATGATTAAGGACAGGAAAAACCTTATATGTTAGTAAATAAATAAATAAAAGGCAAGCTACACAATGCTATATGCCCTCAAAGGTCAAGGATGTATGAACGTCCTTCCGCCACAGCTATTGCGGTGGCTGCAAACTCCACGCGCTGCTCCCAGTGCCCAGTAGGGGACGTCGGGTCACAGAGAACAGGTCCCGACCAGACGCATCTGCCGATGCGTGCAATCACAAGGACCAGTGGTTCTCAAACTACCTCCCAGGGACCCCTCCCCCCCACCAGGGGCTAAGACTGGGCGGGGTGGGGGGTGGGGAGGAAACCGTGACCAAGTGGAGCGCGGGAGGGGTGCAGTCTGGGGAGGGTGGGGCTCCTGGCCCTCCCTGCTTCAGCCAGCGAATTCCTTTTTTTTTTTTAAATAGAAGCAGGGTTGAGTTCCGATATTGTGTTAATTTCAGGTGTGCAGCAAAGTGATTCAGTTATACGTATATATTTTTTCAGATTATTTTCCATTATAGGTTATTCCAAGATATTGAATATAATTCCGTGCTTTACAGTAGACCCCTGTTGCTTATCCATTTTGTGTATAGTAGTTTGTACCCAGAGAGTTCATCTTTTCTCCCTTATATAAATCATTTAATTTGTGAAAAGCAAAAATGAATACAAAGCCAACATTTGGCGGAAACGAAGCCAAAATAAAGGGGCAATCTTGTAACTCCTGGATCTTCTAACTCCTGGTTCAGCCTTTTTGCCATCCTCTGCTCGGCTGGGTGCCCCAAATTCCTGTATCCTCAGGAATAATTTCCAAGATGCAGGCAGGGCACATAATCCCGCACCATTAACTCAGTTCATTTTCTTAAGAATTAGCAACATCGGACCCACGTTGGGGCCCCGCCATTTGAATCCTAATTGGAGGTGACAGCTGCCCTGGCCTCCTTCGGAGGGTGAGGGAGGATGCCTGTGCGTGGCTGGGAAGGGACGGCTGGTTTTTCCGCCCAGCCTGTTTTCACATCAAGCCTCATTTATAAAATTTAACAGAACCTGGAGATCAGACGGGAAATGGGAAACGCTTTCCACCCACCTCCAATGCCTCCCAGGTGGGTGACTTCCTAAGGGCAGCCCCTAACAGGGGCCCTCTCCAGGGAAAATTCAAATGTCGGTTCTCAGAATTTGGAGAAAACAAAAGAGATAAGCGCCTTAGAAGTCAAATGCCCCAGTGATTTATGGTGCTGCCGGAACAACAGATGGTCCTGGGTGATAAAGAACCGATTTCGCGGAGGGGCCCAGATTAAAGGATTAAATGTTTTGAAAAATATTTCATGTCATGCAAGGTGATGCTCACAGAGGGTCCTAAACAAAGGATGTTTCCTGGTGTTCTGAGAAAGAACGGACTTTTATAAACGAAATAAATAGATCACCTTCCCAGCCCACGGGGGTTAAAGGTTAAAGGCCAAAGTCCTTGGGCTAAAGGTCAGACCCCAGCTGGCCCCATGCCCCTGCCCCTCCACTCCTCTGGCCTCCCTCCTGTCGTCCCACCACTCTCCCCTCGCTCATTCCTGGCCAGCGCCCTGGGCTGAAGTCCCACCTCCGGGCCTTTACAGGCTGTGTCTCCCTCCTGAGAGGCCGGGCTGGTTCCAGCCCTCACTTGGTCCAGGTCTCTGCTCACACGCGCCCGTAGCTGGTGCTCCCCGTTCCCCTCTGCCTGCCTTACATAGCTCCAAACCTCTGGTCACCCTGGGAGGACAGTGTATTGAGTCACTGCTCGGTTTACTGTTTTTCTCCCTGCTACAACGTGTCCTCCTAGGGACTCGGTCTTCTTCCCACCTGTGTCCCCAGCACCTACGACCGTGCCTGGTGTAGAGCCGGTGTTCAGTTCATTTTTGTTGTGGTTGATTGAAAGCTGTGATGCTGAGAATGATGGAGGCGTGACAGTGACGGGCATCTCTTACTGGCGGTCCACCACGTGCCAGGCATCCTCATCCTTCTAGGCGTTTAACAACCTGCACAGTGTCCCTGTGAAGGTGGCTCCGCAGGCCAGGTGGCCTGCACTGATGTGGAGCTGTCCCTTCGTGTTTGTTTAATGCTGTACCTTTCCCCCAGCATCCGTACACGCCTTCGGTCACGTGAGTCCAGGAGGGGCAGGTCCTATTTTATCCACACTCTAAAGACGAGGCCCCCGAGGCTCAGAGAATTAAAGGTTTGCCCAAGGCCACCGGCGGAGAAGGGTCATATTACACTCCTCCCTCCGGAAGCCAAAATAATGCATCCAGAATATAAGTCTGGGGTCAGTGTTGGAAGGTTTGCTAGGACCCCAAACTCCTCCTCGCCTTGGAGCCTTCCGCACACTGTCCTTTGCACTCAGAACTCTTCCCTCTCCTTGCCCAGCTAATGCCTCCTCTTCCTTTGGGGCGAGAACTTAGGGGTTACATCCCACCTTCAAGTGTACCAAGATGGACGGCGCTGAGGCTGTGACTTTAACAGCCAGGGATTTGAGCTCAGGTGTGGGAATTAGATGAGTCTGGCTTGGACCCCTGTAGCTGTGTCATCATACAGGAAAATGACCTCTCTGAGCCTCCGTCTTCCTCACCTGCGAAATGGGCCCCGAAGTTAAGTGCCCGCTGCGGGGGTTTGCGGAGGCAGCAGATGAGACCACATCTGTGGGTGCTCTCCTCGGCGATGCTGATCGCCTGGTTTTATCATTACTTTTATTTTTGGTCTTTCCTGCTTCCTCCCTCCTTCCCGCCCTCGATTCACTCACACACTGATGATGCTTTAGGTGTGATGCTGAGGCGGATGCAAAAGCAACCTACGAGCCGGTCCCTGCCCCCAAGGAGTTCAGGATCTAACTGGGGTCTAAAGGTCCGCAAGCAAGAAACCCTCCCGCAGCGGCGCCATCATTTCTAGGGAGGGGGGGGGGGGCGGTGGGGGGAATGGGGGCAAACAACTGGCAGGTTCCTAAGAGGAAGCAGCCGCCCCAGCACTGCTCCCTGAGGGTCCCCTGAGGTAGCATCCATCGCTCCCCTGTAGTTACACCTGCTGATCCCATTGTACAGGTGAGGAAACTGAGGCACAGACTCAGCATATGGGGAAGCGTCAGGGTCGGAACTCGGGCAGGCTGATTCATAATCACTGCAGGGCAGGCAGCATTTATTAAGCTCCCACTGCGTGCCAACGCCGTGCTAGGTCCTCACATACTGAGTTTCACGGAATTCTCAGCATAACCCTCACTGCTATTATTCACCCACTTTACTGATGAGGAAACAGACA